AAAACCAAAAATTCACCTCTTTCGAAACAGAGGGAGATATTTTCTCCAAGGCTCTCTTGAAATGAGCATCTTTGATGGCCAATGGTACATTGGAACTTCCTGTCGGTGGTATTTCTTCAACGGCAGCCAGCACCGCTTCATTCATCTGTCATTTATTAGGGATAAATAATGGTAAACTTCAACAAATATCTTTCATTTTTAATTCCAAAAAAATAGTAGTTGTGATAACAGATGGCTATATATAGTTATATACACATGCATGCGTGTGTGCAGTGTGTGTGCATATATCAAACCAAATTAAGCAATTCGTTTCGCCGTCTAATTCTCTTTTTTCCTTTTCTAAAGCTAATTTCACAATTAAAAAATAGATATATCGTATTGATTTCATGAAAGGATGATACAAAAACACATAACATAAAATTGATTTTTTTATATATATTTTACATTAAAAAAAAAAAANGACCAAAAAAAAAAAAAAAATGGAAGGTAAGAGAGGAAAAAGGCATACCAAAGCTGAAAGATCAGCGCCACTAAAATTTTCGCAAGCTCCGTCTTTCCCTATGGCCACGAGGTCCACATCAGAATCTAGCAACTTATTCCGGGCAAGAGCTTCCAATATCATCCCGCGTTCGTCAGGACTAGGGAGAGGGACATATAGAAGCTTCCCTAACCTTCCGGATCTGAGCAGTGCAGGATCCATGACATCTGGCCTGCCAATATATGTCAAACAATGATAAAAATCGTCAATACAAGGACATGGGGCCAATTGATGTCTACAAAAATTGGATAAGTGCCATTTTGCTCATACCTATTTGTGGCACCAATTACATAAACGCCATTCCTTCTTCCTGCACCATCCAGCTCTATCAGGAGCTACAATGGAAGATGTCGAATTTCAGCAAGTAATGGAATTTAACTAAAAACAAGAAAAAAGGAGCATAAGAAATGCAGTGTCAGGAACATGATCATTAATCTAACCTGGTTCAAGAGCCGCTCAACAACCCATCCGCCTTCTTTACCACGCCTTGTTGTCAGTGAATCCACCTATAACGAAAGAATGCACTGAAGTATTATACTTAACGGTCCATTGAAATAAATATACCAAGACTGTGAACTGAGAACATGCAAGTCATGTAACTACTGGTTGGAAAAGGTGATATATTCATGGTGAATGAAAAAACAAGTAAAAAAGATATAAATGAAAGATTCATTCTTCCATTTGGATCTTTAATACTTTTAATCCCATGAAGAAAGGAACTGCTCCAGAAATCACTCAATAAATCATTTAGGCCAGAAAGCATTCGTCCACAAAGCATTTTTGCAAAATCTTTTGAAATATGAATGATATCCAACTTTCTCCTGGGTACATCCTCAGAAGAATTATGGTTTTATTTCAAGCTCTGACATGTAATAATTACACCTAATATTTTCGTTCTATAATGAATTTCAACTCATGGAAAAAACTCTTAATGGATAAAGAACAGATCATTACACAGAAACAAAGAAAAGGTCAAAAAATAAAGGGTAATTCCCAAGATAAAAGACAAGTTATACCTCATCAAAGAAAAGAACGCACGGCGAACATGTCCTTGCACGACTGAAGATTGTCCGCACTGCCAGCTCACTTTCACCAACGTATTTACTCAAAAGTTCAGGACCCTAAATGTAGAAAAAGAAAAGTTCATAAGGTAACGAACCAATGAATTTTGATATCAGGAACTCTATTATAGCATAATAATACATTTGGAGACAGAACCTTTATATGCATGAAATTAGCCCCAGCCTCGCTAGCAACCGCCTTGGCAATCAAGGTCTTTCCACAACCAGGAGGACCATAAAGTAAAAAGCCCGTCTCCAAGTTGAATCCAAGACTCTACAAGAAGATGAAATCAATATAGAAAGGGAAAAGAATGAGAGCAGCTCAAGCAGTCTGCTTTGCGAACTCCATTTACATTTGCCAAAAAAATTAGAAAATGTAACAAGTTACCTTATAAACTTCAGGAAACCTTATAGGTTTAATTATATGGCGATCAAACTCTTTTCTGAGTAAATGAAGACCTCCAACATCATCCCACTTCACATTTGGCACATCAGAAAACCCTTCCCTTTTAGAAGAAGGTTGAATAATTTTAATAGCTTCCTGCCCACAATTAAATGAAATAAATGTATGCTTCAAACCTTCAATATACAAGTAGACACAGAATGATGTAAGATCATGGACTTGAAAATCAATAAGAATGATGAGGAATTCCGTACGGCAGACGTATAGCAGAGTCTCAATTTGGGTTTACAAAGGGCAACTTTATTTAATTTTACTCAAGATAGTCAAATGATGCAAGTATTACATGACCATGATTTTTAAGAAGATAATCCACAATTTAAAATACAACCACGTCCACTCCTGAACAGAAATAGACAGACTTTTAGTTATACCCCAAATAAAAAAATGACAGATTCGCCCACTCCCCAACTGAATATAAACAATTTGGTAAGTGCCACCCGACTAGAACATATATACACAGACACACATCCCCTACCCCATAATAACTCCCACCACCAAATCGTTAAGAGAAAATATAGGAAGAGGGATACTCCACAGATGCTACATACAAAAGCAC